CTGACGGACTGAAGCGTCTCGTGATTTGGGTCCACCATACCCAATTTTACTTCTGTCCCAGGCGGCAAACAAGAACAGGTCATCGCCTCCGCTTTGGGGGGATCCATGGATATGCCTATGTGTCTCTCTAATTACCAATCTCGGCTTGGGTAAAGAGTCAGCTACCTTCCTTTTAGAGGGCTCTTGCCTGGGTAAAACACGAGAATCCCGGGTGATGGTATTCATGAGTAGACACTATGCAATCCTTAGACTAGGGATATCTTAACTGTTCACGTACGGAGTACAACACGCTTGATCAAATTCCCACGAAACAACATCGGCAAATTGTCCAATGGCATCCGTGGTGATTGAATGATCGGCACCGAGATACGTAAGTGATTCTGGTTGGGATTATCGGGTAAATCTCGGAGTATCCCGTATATCCATATAGATCCGTAGCCTACGACCCAAAGGAGTGATATCACGACCTGATAGTCATAAGTGGAATCACCACGGTCTATAATTCCCGAGATCCTTTCTTGTTACCATCTAGCAGCGAAGAGTGAACAGAGTGATAAAGCTGAAAAATCTGAGCTTAACCCATATAGAACGTACCTTTTGTTCCTAGGAGATCGTGGCCAAGCCACCCGGCAATCGACACCGGAGATCGCGCTATAAGTCTCTATTGCCGAACGTTTATTAGCGAACGGTAACTATATCAATCTATAAATGTTAATATAGAGATGTGGACTCCGATTTAACTCTTATAAAATTTAGTATAATGAAAATCAAAAGACCTTTATATTTTATTTTTATCTTGATCGCGTCGTGTAGACTGCTTTCTTATTTAGAGCTCTCCTCTTCCTCGTTTCCCTATACTTTTATCGAGCTTTATTGCTCTCTTCTCCGTTCTCTAGTCCTATCTCGAGTCTGCCTACTTATTCAAACTCTCTATATCATTTACTTTTTCTTATTTTGTAATTTAGTATCTATATTACGCACGTTCTCTAAAGCTTGACACGGGGAGGGGTACTAAACCACTAGCATTTCTTCTAACCGGCCTGGCGCTATAATGCCGAGCTCTACGGACGAAAGAGAGACTTTTCGCCTCGAAGAAAAGAAGGGAGAGCGGTCGAATTGGGACGAAGTATCGCCCCCCTCCGGTAACAAAATATTGAGAGACGAAGCTGGGCCACCGCCTATAAGCACGCCCTTCGAGCGTCGCGAGTAAGCCACCCGCCTATAGGATGACCTGATACTCGTATAGGCCGAGCGCGTGGTATCGCGCTCCACTTAAAGCGGAGAGGGCGAATATAGCGAGCGCAACACTATGACCCGAACACGATCCCGTCGCGCTGAGGCCGTCGACGAGTTCAACGAGGCTACTAACCCCCTCCACGAAAAGGCCGCGGTCTATAAACCTCCCGAGAACCCTAACACTAAGCTCTCTGCCTTTGTGAAGAAGATACACTAGTCCAGTTTTATCGTTCGCTACCTCACCTATATCATGCCTATGGTCCTGATCCTCGTAGGCTAAGGAAGCGACTAGCTTTCCTTAAATAAAGA